CAAGATTTTGTTGAAGATGGCTGGAACTGTCAGTGATTGAATAAAAGCACAGAGACAAGAAATTACCTTCGTATTTGGCTGCTGTAATACTGAGATAGTCCTTCTGAGGGAGCACCTTGGGCTGGGTGCTCTCACCAGGTCGGTATCGCGACTCAGTTCCTAGAGGATCAGGTCCACTTGGCTCTGAAGTCTGACCAAGAGTGGCTCCCTTGGTGTTTTCGGTAATAAAGTTGGCTACGTTGTCAAGATACGAGAGCGGTAGCTCATTGTCGCCCAAGAACTTGGTGGCTCGCTCGTAAGGGTTCTCAGAGAGGTTGTAAGGGAGCTTCAGAGGAGGCTTGCCATCCTCAATATCGACATCAAAGACGTAGTCATACATCTTTCCTTGGTACTCAACCTTTTTGCCAGTACTGGCGACAGCATCAACGACAGTACCGACGTTGATCCATTGCTGTTGGCTCACTGACCACGTATGAGCAGTAACATTTCCGTTATCCTCCTTGATCATCTGAACCTGTCCCTCCTTCGTACCCGCCTTACTGGTCAGGAACTCAGGGCCAGGGAGCTTCTCCTTGTTGACACCCCCGACCTGCTGCTGAGGGATCGATGACGCCTTGACAGACTCTTCAAACTCCTTGAGTGTCGCTTGGTCGGCAGTACGGTCGGGACTTCGTGTAAAGACGCGGGCAATGCTGTCGCTGGCACCCGTAACGATGTCGCCGGTCTCGGGGTTCGCAGCGACGGTCCATACCGAAATGGCGGGATGTGTGATTGTCTGTACACATTCGGTACCCTTCCATACCCTGACGGTACGATCTTCTCCCGAACTGACCAGCTCACCTGTCGGGAGACTGGCCAAACAGTAAACAAAGCTTTCGTGTCCATGCAGCTCGGCAACTTGTTGACCATTCAGCTTCCACAGGCGGATTGTTCCGTCGTTGCTTGCGCTCGCAATGTCTGCACCACTGGGGTGACCGTTGGGTACACGACAGAGGGCGCGGACAACGTCAGGTGTGTGTATGGTAGAGCTTGGCGACACCTCACCGGCGGTGGATTGCCGCAGATCAAAGATACGGATGCTCTTGTCGGCACAGCCAGTCACTACTGTGTGATCATCGAATGCAACAACGCTCCAGACGGCCATGCTTTCGTGGCCGCTCAACGAGAGCTCTGTTTCCCATTTCTGAGGGCTCCATACCCGCGCCTGGCCATCCCAGCCGCCTGATACCAAGTATTTGCCGTCGGGTGAGACATCGAGCGTGCAAACGTTGTGAGAATGGCCGATCAAGAGGCGTTCGGCGTTATCGGAGCTGGAAGCTTTGGGGGACTTGACTTCGATGATTGTATCCTTGCCACCAGAGACAACGTAGCCATCTGGGTGCTCACTGGACGGAGGGAAGAAGGAGATGGAGTTGACGTATTCGGAACCACGGCTGACCAGGGTTGCGTCGAAGTTCGGGGGAGATGCTTGGGTGCGGCGCCATATGCGGACGCTGCAATCGCGGGAGGCGGTTAAGACGGTATCGGGAGAGGGGAAGGTTGCGGCTCGAACCTATCGATCCGTTAGTGTTTCGAGATGCAGAGAAAAGTCGCCTAATAATGCCTACATCGGATTCGTGCCCGACCAATTGCGCCGACAGCTTGAAGTCGGTCATTTTCCTGGAGGATGGTTTGATGGATGGATGATGAGAGTACGTGACACTGCTGAATGCAGTGGAGGGGGGGAGCTTGATGAATGACTGGACGGACGATGATGCAACAGGGTCAAGAAAGAGAAACGACCAGCTATCTCTCTAAGCAAGGGTAACGCCAACGACAAAAAAGGATGAATCACGGGGAGTATGAAGGGGTTGTATCGTCAAAAAGTCATCAAGGGAACCGGAGGAACGTGACAAATCGTAGACTAGAGTTGATCGCTGGTCAGTAATGGAAGCTGATCGATTGATTGCCCCTTCCCGTCGTCGGATCTGTCCTGTCCAGCTTAAGCCACAGCTCAATGCGTCACTAAGCATCAGCCACCTCCACTTGGCCGGGCATAAAGTGTCGCTCAGGCTTGGATGCTGTGAACTCTCGGGCATTATTGCTTCGCATTTAAGCATACATTAAAAAAGCTAAAATTAGATTGCTGCAGATATCGTAAGTCATTGTTATACCTTTATGGTGATACTGCTTTAGTAGAAGTCGGGCAGAGATGTTGAGGGGACTCAGGAGAGAGCTGTATGTATATATGAGAGTCGGACTCCGGTCCTTTTCTCAACACTGCACACTGAATCAAAAGGAACCTCACACACTCAGTCACCTTTGGACTCCCCTCTCTCTGTCTCACGAATAATTCCTTGTCCTCTACATCAATAACTTTGTCTCTCAAGTCAAGTCAAGATATTGCAGCCCCCAATTATACCCCGCTTTGTGGCGGTGCCCACCAGAAAGAAGGACCCCGTCGTGTAACCCCGCCTTGAGGCTGCCAGAAAACTCAGGACCTCTATCTTGAGAGATAAAAATACACAGACAGCTTTAGTTCAAATTTGGGTGTTCTCTACTGACTCTATTTTGGCATCCTCCTCTCAAGCATCAAACTTTCTTGCTCCCTTAGGCCCGCTGCTCAAGTTGGGCAAGCGTGACCCTGTCATTTTGGTTGCGCGCCGCTGTTTCCTTCCCTGTCCAACCTGTTTCGTCCTCCCCGTCTTCGCAAATATTTGGCAAATCCATCACCGCCCTCCTTTCCTCTCTCTCTCTCCTCTCCTCTCCTCTCCTTTCTCTTCGCAAGGGGGTTCGCTTTGGGGGCAACATTCACGCTTTCTTGAACCTCACGGCACGACCCCATAAAATCACGACCTTAACGTTCCTCTTCTCCATCTCTTTCCTTCAAGTTTTGGGCCCATCATCGCCATTTGCTCGAGAAAGACGCTCCACACTTCTGCGACGGCACGCGACAAGCTCTGCCACGAGTCACGATCCGAACCACTCTTAACGACGCATACGACTGTTACGGCCTCTCTCATTTCCAATTTTGACATCCTCGATTAATATCGGGCATCTCGCTACTCTCTAGACCGACATCGAATACTACAGCTGGCCGCAATTGGCTAGATTCCATCAACAAACCGATTCCCCGCTTGTCTTCGCTTCTCTATACTGTCGCAATGGCTTCCGAACCTCGACAATACCATCCTCTGACCTGCCACGGTCATTCCCGACCTGTTCCCCATATCGCCTTCTCTGGCTTCGAGAAGGAAACTGAGAAGGAGATCGAGAGGAAGACCGACAGCTTCTTTCTGATCTCTGCCTGCAAAGGTGCGTCCATGTCTTGTGTCAACAGAGCGCATATTGACATGATACAGATGGCAACCCTATGCTTCGGAACGGCATGACTGGCGATTGGTAGGTCCCTGTCCACCGGATCTGGTAGCTCCTCTGACTTGCATAGGATCGGCACTTTCATCGGTCACAAGGGTGCTGTTTGGCAAGCTAGACTGAGCCCCGATACCTGCAGCGCAGCGACTGCATCGGCCGATTTCACAGCGTGAGTATTCTCCCCCACAAAACACAACACCGCTGACATTTGCATAGCAAAATTTGGGATACCTACTCGGGCGAGTTGCTCTATACGCTTCAACACGATCACATTGTCCGTGCGATTGCCTACCCTCCCGACAACTCGGACCTTATCGCGACCGGCGGTTTCGAGAAGAAGCTGCGCATTTTTGATCTATCGGAGCTGTCTTCTACTGGATCCCCTACTACAATCCCCGCCTCCGCTGGCTTCGAGATCGGCGAAGGCGTTCATACCGGTTCGATCAAGTTCATTTGCTGGACCCAGGACCCTAACATTGTTGTGACCGCATCCGACAAGACAATCCGATGGCTCGACCTGCCTAGCCGGGCCTGCATTCGACACGAAGTTCTTGATGGAGACATCAAGTCTTGCGAGATGGTGTCACTGGATTCCCAGTATGCCTCGCCTAGTGACATTGGCGGTGGATTACCCGTTCTCGCTGTCGCTGCTGGAAAGACGGCGTACTTCTGGGGTGGTCGCAATGCCATGGATGAGCTCAAGCGCTTTCCTCTGAGCTACACCATCGCTAGTGTTGCGCTCGATCTCAAGGGTCGCAAGCTAGTTGTCGGTGAGGAGCCTGGCACATGGGCCAAGGTTATCCGATACGACGATGGAAAGGAGCTCGACGTACACAAAGGACATCACGGACCTATCTGGTCAATTGCATTCTCGCCCGATGGCAAGATGTATGCTACAGGATCGGAGGATGGTACCATCAAGCTTTGGAAGAATTGTGAGGGCTTCTACGGGCTCTGGCGTGGAGGCGGAGAGAGAGTCGCAGAATAGGAACGCAGACTGATCTCTACATCCACGGACAATTTGGAGGCTGACGCCAAGTCTGAGGTCTCGTTTACTACAAAGGGTAGTAAGCGTGACATGAGCACTCGCGCGAGTCTTAGACGCTCGTGCAAAACTGGGAGCAGCGAGCAGTCGTACCGAACCGGCAGTCCTCTTGGCTACCTGCACGACGATTGGCGCCCCTGGCGATCAACTGTTTAATGTCGGAGTTTGTTGACAGATGATACACGTATTTTTGAAGGGAGATTGAGAAGTTTTCTATGTTAGACACGACACAGTTTAGTGGAGATGGCCTCAGAGGCCGATGATGCGGGCAACAGATTAAGTATCTATCTACAGACGCTCTAATACAATAGTGTATTCTCAGCTGTCTATCTATCCAGCCCGTCCAGTCAATCCCAACGCCTTAATTCCACCTGACTCTAATCCCGCCGTCCAAGTAGTCTGTCTATGTACTCTCTATTTAAGAAAGCTCATCTTGTCTACCTAGCCACAGTTAGTCAGTCTCTATTCTACGACCAAGATCCCAATTTAGGGGGCGCATAATTAGCATTGCCCAAAGAAACTTACCAGAAAAAGATCATTCACAAACGTGGACAACTTCTACTTCTGCAGCTTACCAGGGACACGCCTACGAGGGGCACATCTACTTGGATGCTCGCTTCTTGGACTCGCGCATGGCGAGGCGGTCAGCCTCTACAACCCGTCGGTCGAGCTCATATTGGTATGTACGCTCGTAGGGGGTTTGGCGGTTGGCGCCGCTGTCATCGAACTCGCTGAGGACGTTGCGAGACTTCACAACGACGCTCCATGGATCGTCCTTCACAGTGGGGATGAGCTCCCAAGGCTCGACGGCATCCTCAGGCTGGATGACCACGGGCTCCTTCTGTTCCGGCTCCTTTTCTTCATCGGCGGGGCCCTTGATAAGGGCGGTTACTTTCTTCACCAGCATGGAGAACATGGTTGGCTTTGTGCACTCCTCAGGACACTCGAAGGATAGATCGAAGGGTTGGCGATAGTGTCGGTGGTCTTGGTGATCGGGGTGGCGTAGAAGGTTGTCGTGTAGGGCGTTTCAGCGCAGGTGTGTAGGCTGATGTCGGTAGTTGAAGATTCCTTGAGGTGTCGTAGAAGTTGTGATGTTGGGGGTTCAAAGATGGGTGTGAGTTGGTGTCAGTTGCTGATCTCAAGGAAGTCCGGGTGAAAGTGATGTCGAGGATGACTGAGGAAAGGAATGAGAGTCGAGTTTGGCGGGAGAAATGAAGAATATATACGGCCAACTTCGAGGGGATGCTGCCGCCGTCGAGAGATCTCTTGTTCCACTGGCACTGGCGAGGTTCGTCGAACAGCCAGCATGTCCCTCTGTCCATGCCAGCCGATACACCCGTTCAACTGGAAACCGCAGTGGCAGCGCCGTCGCCAAGCTGTCAGCCTAATTTATCCAACGGCGCGAATACAGGAGATTATCCTGTTCGCGCGCATTGAGCTCGAGTTCCTCTCTCAAAGTGCGAGTGTTGTCGCTGTTCGGGAGATCACCATCGAGTTCATCATGATCGATGAACTCCCACTCCTCACCGGTCTCAGCATCTGTGATAGTGATGCTGGGGTTGCTGCAGAGCTGGTACTTGGGCTTCTGCGCCTTGAGATGCTGCTTGGGAGTCTTGGAGAGGGTTGACAAGAGTGTGCTTTTGAGGCTGGACATGACGCGCGATGCTTTCTTGGTGACCTTGCGGCTGGCGTCGGAGGGAGATGTGAGTTTGAAAATGACTACGATGGTGTTTTGTTGTCGAAATACTAGGAGTTGGTGATGTTGATGGTGGTGCTGGGTTTGGCAATCGAGACACTTTTCGCTGGATGCTTGGGGAGCAAACAGAAGACTAGGCAGCGGAGGAGGATTGAGGAGAGAAAGAAGAGACTGCCTAGGAATTGAATGAAAAAAGATGTGCATTTATCCTAAGTTTTGAGAGTGAATCAACGTCTACGGCGATTGTTCTCGATTAGTTCACTGATTCAGGCTGCTTGTGCGCAAGCACTGGCAACTGTCACAGAGGGATTGACAAGCCGGAGAGCTCTACAATTAGCTTGATAAGGATCTAGAAGGCAATTTGAACCTCCGAGACAATGATAGATAAGCCTTTGATCATGATGGTGGTCTAGGGCTGTTCAATTGAACATCGCTGCTGAGGGCGGCTGTTCCCCGACCACAGTTTGTCGCAGCAGAACAGCTGAGATGAGCCGCGCGCTCGTGGACATACTCAAATGGACCCAGCGACACAGGAAATTGCACTTATCAGGTCAAAAGAGCTGTCGTTGGGCGTGCGCGATTGAGTGGCTCGATGAGGTTGGCTGACGATTGACCACCGGAACAAGAGCAGCGACATTACAACATGGCACTTTTTTGGACTGATTCGCTCCAATGACCACCCATACGGATAATGAGGACCCCAGATTGTGTACTAACCAGTCTATCTCCATATATTTGATGTTAAGTCGCAGTCATGGACAGTCTTGTAGCATCGGAGAGAGTCTCAAGGCGAACCTCAGTTTGCTGCAACAGGACATCGGAGATGAGCAGTAGCCACTTAGACATGACCTCATGGACCGAGCGACAAAAGGTATGCTAAGTGCTGAGCCAAAAGAACCTTCCTTCATCGTGAAGGATAGAGTGTCCCGATGATGAAGGTGGATGATTGGCGATTGTGCAGCAAGATGGTGAGCGAGGACACCACAACAAGCGCCCCAATTACACTGTTTCATCTTCATAAACGGTGAGAGACATGAAAAAGAGTCCTCGAGTGAATATGGGCAGTTGATCTCATTAGCTCTGTTGTTTGGGATGGCAGCGTTGACCAATGTCGCAGCATCAGTGAGAACGCTGTCGCGGGCCTCAGCCTGGCACAACAGAACATTCAAGATGAGCTGAATATCCTTGTACATGCTCTAATAGATTAAGCGACAGGTCTTGGATCAAAACTAAGTCAATCGAGCTTTGTTCGTACGAGCAATGTGTCTCGACGGTGATGGTAGACCACCGACGGTTGCCTGCAGAAGGACCAGCGGCGACACCGCAACAGACGTTTCAATTGACTAGTCTCCCGTCAGTGAGCATAAATATACATAATGAGAGTCACTTAACCTAGGACAGGTAAGTTAATCTCAATAAATCTGATGTTGGGCCCTTGAGACGTGGTGACCTAGAGTGGTGATCAGTCTCGCGACATCGGCAAGATGAATACAGCAATTCCTGGCAACAGAACGATCGAGATGGGCTGGAGTACCCTTGGACGCACTCTAATGGGGCGAGAGATACCTTTTACGGTGGTAGTTAAGCAACAGAGCCTTTAATTGTTGTCGTTCGACATGGTGCTTTGACGGACACGATTGAGCATCACGTCGAGAACAACGAGCGAGGACATCACAACAAGGCGCACAATGGAACATACCCATTTCAATGAGTTTTAAAAGACACAAGTTGGTCTAGTAATTTTGATACTGAGCACTGTATCTTAATAGATCCTTGTTGGGGTTCAATGTGCAGGCGCTGGCAATCTCATAGAATGATGTCGGAGAGCTCAGCAATGACAATACCATATCGCATGGCAACAAAGCAATTGAGATGAACTGTGATCTTTCGTACATATTAATTTGAGCCGCGAGATATCATTTAATGCGAAAGCTGGGCCAATAGAGCCTTTGTTCGACATGAACAGACATGCTACTTCGACGGTCGATCGGCCATTGGGAAATTGACGAGCGACGGCATCACAACATGACCTCCAAAGGGCTGTACTCACTCTGGCGAGCTTCTAAGTATGTGCATTTGGATGCCTAGTTAGGCTATGAGAGTTAAATCTCAATCTATCTGATGCTAGGGTCGTCGGGCGCGGTAATGGCAGTCTTGGCCAGTTGATGTCAACGAGAATGGCATCGCGGAACATAGCGTGGAGAAGATACTGAGCAGTATGGACATCAGAACATCGATCAGACATATACTAGTAAGCTGTGCGATAAAGACTATTATTAAAGATGAGTTACTAGAGCTTTTGTTCGGCGTGGGAAGGCATGCTGCTTCGATGGTTGAATGACGATTGCGTACAAGGACGAGCGACGACATCACACAAGTCGCCCAATGGACTATTACCACTCAAGTGAGCTTCGACACACGCACAATTAATCAATTACCTAGGAAATGAGAATTTAGTCTCAAGATATTCGATGTTGGGGTTGTCGCGCGCGAAAACGGCAGTCTTCGGCCAGTCCCAATGTCACCGAGAATGGTATCGCGGAACTCAGCGTGGAGATGGCAGATGAACGATATAGAAGGATAAAAGTCGCTCGGGCATGCTCTAGTAAGCCTTGCGATACAGAATATCGCAAAACTAGGGTCAATGGAGCCTTTGTTTGGCATGAAAAGACATGCTGTCTGGATGATTGATTGACAATCGTGTACACAACAGCTTCACGAGAAGAATTGGGGTTGACAAAACTCATCGCAATAAGCGTGAATGCATCTAAAATCGATCTATCAGTTAGTTTCTGAGTGTTATACACCGTTTTGATTATTTCTGAGCCCGTTCGACGCGACAACAGCCGTCTGGATCAGTCTCGCGGCGAACGTTGCGGACCTCGATTGGGAGACGGCCACGATTCATGGCAACAGCACAATCTAGATGTTCAGAGATATGCTGACCATCTTGTACTAGGCCATGCGACATAGGGTATCGCAGAAGCGAAGTCAATAGAGCGTTTGTTGGAGGCGGGCGATGCTTCGATGGTCAATCGACGAACGCGCAGCGAGACGACGCGACACCACAACAGGACATTCCAATCGTCGTACCTTTCTCTAGAGAGCCTTCAATACCTTTTTATGGGACTACAGATTGGTGTACGTACACTCTATCTCCTTGCCTTCCTTCCTATGGACATCAAGCAGCGAGTGACTCGTAATGAGAGAGCCATCGGAGAGACGCATCACATCGTATCGTATCACATCGCACGGCAGTAGACTTGCTTTTATAGATCATGCGAAACGTCCTCTATTGGTCCCATCGAGATCTTAGCCTTGTCAAGTCGCATGCGGCTCTGCGACTGCACTGTCACGTTGATCACGACAGCGCTGTCGCTGTCGGCAACACTTATCTACCTCACGACAAGGAACGCTGACTCAGACCGAGTATCTCTATGGGCCTACATGAAGTCGCAATCAATTGAATATTCTCAAGATGCTTATTTTGGTCGCAAATGCGACTTGTGGCTCTGCGACGATGCCCTCGTCTACTCATGTCGCGATTGAACCAGCTTGTCAAGCCTTCTTCATAGGGCATGACGGACCAAACATCAGTGAAAACTCACATTAATGAGCCTCAAGTGATTCTCTCGAGGTTCTAACCTGTCTAAATTGTAATCGCGATGCCTATTTCTTCAAGAGTGCTCTTGTCCTGTATGTCCGGTCACGAACAGCGCCATGGTGATGATTGAACCAACTCACCGACACTTTCATCTCACGATGTCAACTGCTAGACAAACCGTACTAAGAGACTTGGGTCAATTAGAATTAAATTGATGCTTCTAGAATTTCCATTTTGCAGGGTCATATCGGAGGTATGCGGCTCTGCGATAATGTCCTCATGTTGAATGGCGATTCGCAATTGAATCAGTCCTCCGATGATCACCTCACTTCATCTCACTCCACCTCATTCGCACCGCGTTGAATCCGTATGATATGAGAAGTCACCGGTTAAAGTTTAATTTTTACTTTATTCCCTATCATTAAATCTCAATTACCGACTCACAATCCGATATCGTTGCGTTTCGGCTCCCGTGTCGGCCGGGACGGAGCCGGACTTCAAGCTCAATCACCAACTGTCAACGACCAACACGAAGATACGAAGTGCGACAGTAGTAGAACTCAATTCCTTCAATCTGAGACCGCTAAAAAAGAACCACCGTGTCTAAGAATCCCCGCCTCTTCCGGCGTCGCAATCGTCAACCAGCGAGAGCACGAGTTTCACGCATGCACACATCCAAAAGAGATAAGAATAGCCAGCCGCCTCCACTCTGTCAGAACCTCTAGCGCACAATGCCATGTGGGAAAACGCCAAGATCTTCCATTCGACCTTTAATATCACCGGATCCGTTGACGGTGGATCAAAACTCATATCAATCTCACACAATCATTCAATGAGATTGTGCCTCGTGCCAATTAACTTCACCGGATTCTCCCAGATCCCAGATCCCAAAGATTAAAATCGCGGCTCCGAGTTGTCCGGTCCATGGTGTCAAGACCGAAGAACAAGAAAAATCTTACACATGGCTTAGGCATCTTTAGACGTTTGCGTCTGGAACGGGCTACGACCGGGTTGAATCTTGGCTACGAATCAAGTAAATCTCAACTCATTGCTAGATTGGCGAGCTGAAGGCACCGTGTAGCCCAAAGCAGAAGGGAAGTATGTCGATCGGTGGGCAGTGCGGGATGTTACAGTAGCGGACGAGTTGCCAGTGAGATTCGGCAAACAAAGAGAGGGAGAGGGAGATCCTGCAGCGATGTCTTGGCTAAAATGAAGAGGGGGTCAACTAAAGCAGTGAAGGATGCACTGGGCATATCATGTCGATGCACGTAAAGCAGGGAACGAAAAAGGATGTGATGAGAAAAAGACCTTTTGTCGCAAACGCAAATGCAAGAAGGAATAGGGTGGCTGCTTA